AATCCATCTTGGAGTTTTCAAATCATTGATGGCACATAAATCTTCACTCCAGACACACCATAACTTTCTCAATTCCTCTGAAAGTGAAATGTCTAATCTTTTGTCTCTTTTTTTCAACGGCTTGTTGTTGAGCAATTCTTTGTAAATCTCTTTGATTATTAATCTTCCAGTCAAAAATAATGGACTCAACAACCCAATTGCATCATAAACAGTTGCAATTTGGGACAGTGCAAACCTCAATGTCAATGGTTCTCCCTCTTTAAGCTGTCGAAATTTATTCATTTTAATAGATAACTCATCCGAATCTATCAACCAAGAAAGTCCTAAAATTCCTGCCTTTCCTGACACTTCATCATCACGAATTTCCTTCTCAATCGCTATCAATTTGTCCTCTTCAGGAATCATCTCGATAGCTTCTGGAACATTTGACGCCCATTTTCTGAATTTCAACTGAGCGCTCTCAGCAATTCCTTGCAGCTGTCTCGAAGCTTCTTTCATAAGTTCACCCACTGGTAAACTATACAAGACATCATCTACGTACATAGCATCTCGAATGATGTCTGCCGCTAATGGAAATCTTCTATTTTCAAGACTAGCTAATTCCTGCATTGCTCGAATTGCTAAAAATGGACTAGACGTATTCCCAAAAATTATTGTTGGCATCTCTACCTCCATTAACTTCCCATCCTTGGTTGGCATAAATGTTCTTTGATATGGAATATGCTTATCAATCATATCCATAGACAAATACATCTTTGACAAATCCGTTGAATTCATGCCCTCGAAAATTCTACTGCCGATCAGCACCAGTTGTAATGAATTCTGCAACTTCTTTCCTTTAAGCTGTATGTCATTTAAGCTTCTTCCATTACTCGTCTTCTGTGAGGAGTCAAAAACTATTCTCAAAGGATGTGTAAGAGAATCTTTATTAATAACTGGTAAATGAGACACATAATATTTTCCTGGTACCGATGTATCAGCTGGTCTGATATAACTTTTGACCATAAGATCCTCAAATTGCCTTATGTACTCAACTCTCATTTCTGGAGATAATTGATTCATTACTCTGTGTGTTCTAAAAATACACACTCTTTTACTTTCTCCTAAACCCTGATCTTCTAATAATGGCATCCCTACTACCATTTTTCCATTTCTGAGCCGAGAAAAGTATTTCATAAACATTTGCTCCGCGAGCTCTTCATCACCGCAAGGCTCAGAAGTATCTTGATCGAAAAATCTTCCTATAGCTCTAAATTCTGGATCTCCCACAGAAACCATCCTAGTATGCAAACTACGAACATTTACTGAATTTTCTAGACAACCTAAAGCCATATATCCAAATCTAGTATTTTCCAAAATTAAATCTTCAGATATGCGAATCATACCATCTTTTCTGATTTTAGCCACATATTTAACTGGCATGATAATGTCAATTCTCCCTCCTGTCAACTTGTTTGAGGTATCAGCTAGAGGAGCTTTAACTATTTGCCTAAGCTTTTCTGGAATTGGCTTTACACCTCCCAAAGATTTTCTCAAATAAGCAGTTATATTAAGAGAATATTTCTCATGCAGTGAATTCATTGTAACATTAGTTTCATGACGAACTGGCATTGTTTCTTTTCCCTGATAATCATATGTTTTAATAAACGTTGGCTTCAACTTAAGTCCCAAACGCTTTGCAAACTCATAAGTAATCAACGGTTGATCCGCTCCAGTATCAAAAAGAACCCTAGCTTCAACTGATTTCATCCCATCTTCTGAAGTACATTTTACTACAGCAGTTGGCAAAACAGCAACCGCATGAGATGCATCCAACTTTTTAGTTCCTACACTAAACTCTGGAGCATTAATTGCTTCTTCAGCCCAGTCAAATGTTTCTGGGTTAAAATAAACTCCCTTTTGCTCAACCTGAACTTTCTTATTCGAGGATGTTTCTGAGTTTTCATTTATCATATGCAATAAAATATGGTGCTTAGATCCACATTCTTTACATTTTCTACAATCATCCTTTGTCGCACAATTACAATCCCTATACTTTCTATACAGGCAAACAAAGCACTGACCTTTTTTCTTGATTGCATTTTGACGCTGTTGAGGCGTCATTGCCAAAAATTTTGGACACTTAACTGTCTTATGCCCCTCTGGACATATTGTACAGGAAATTGCTTTTTTATTGCGAATATCAATCTTCTTGCAATTTGAAGCTTTTGTAGGTTCCCTAACCTTACTTCCCGCAGGTAATATAAGCTCCCTAGTGCCACGCACATTGAGAAACATAATCTTGACATATTCCAAAACATCTTCAAAATCTGGAATTTTATCAGGAGTAATTTTTAAATGAAGCACAACTTTATTTTTAGTGCCTTCATCCAACAAATTAAACAACAAGGCATTCTTAATAACATTAATTTGAAACTTTAGCTTTTCAAGCTCATTGTCATGTTGATCTTCGCTCATCAGCTCAGATGTAAATGACTCAAAATTTTTCCATTCAAAGGAAAACTTATTAAAAACCTCTTGAAGGTATTCACTACCCTTGGTAGCCTTAATATTTGGATTAACAAGTCCCATAAAATGATTATAAACCGTTTGACGAGCTGTAAAAAATTGCTCATCCAAAGCTTTAAGCATTTGATCATAATTCGAACCTACACTACTATCAAAACATTTCACGATAGAACGAGCGTTTGAATTCTTATTAATTGCTTTCAACAGAAAATCAATCTTGATTTCTGAAGGAATATTTGGAGACCTAGCCTCCCAAGTCCTAACTTTTTTACGCCAGACTCGATACTCTGACTCAAGTGCTGGAAATTCAGGAAAATTATTGTCAGCATCAACATGCTGCAAATAACGGAGCAATAGTTCCTCTCGATTATTGCTAGAGCTTCCCCTAGTGACAACTTTCTTAAGCTCACTAAGCTCTTTTTGCATGGATTGCATGCGCTCACTATCAGCTGAATCATCTATATCAGATCCCGCTTCAAAATCATCTTCAAAGTCTTGAGATGAAGAAGACAAATTAAGAAAATCCTGCTCATCAGGAAACAACTTAAAAATGCGCTTTTTTGAAACATCAACCATTGACTTCACTATGTCAAAACGACTTTCTTTAAAATAACTCAAATTATTAAGAACACCCTCTTTATTTAATTCTTTTAGTTGAGCATGTAAAGATTTGACTTCTGGCCAAGCAGTCACAAATTTTCCTAGAACTTCCTCTGCTTCAGTACGAGTATTTTTAGAAAAACTTTGAACTCTTGTAAACAAACCCGAAACCAGTAATTGAAAACCTTGCTGTTTATCACGCAATTCTCCATACTTTTTGTACGTTTCTTCGTCAATCTTATTATCTTCATTTTTGTCACCCATCCCGCTCGAACCTCTTGTTGAGACCGGAATTTTTAAAAAAAAATTTCTTACTGGGTAAATGAAATAATTCTAATGCACCTTATGCACACAAAAAAAACTCTCACACGGAGAGAACAAAAGCAATTTTTTTTTTCTCTTTCCCAAATGTATAGAGAAAAGAAAATACAATAAAAAAAAACGTCTCTACAATTATGTGTCACCTACACTAATATGTAAAGCCCAGAGAAAGACAATGCTTTAATTGACCTTGCTCACTAATTTTGCTCGCAACTTAGGTACCCTCAAAATTAGACACACAAATATGTGATTTTCAACTTGTACAAGATTTATTTTAAAAAATGTTCTAATCCTTGGTAACTTTTGTACCCTTGATAGAACCAAGAATAAAATAATTAATTTTATTCCACACAATTTCCCAATTACCGATAGAAACTTGTAATATTGCGAAATTCTAATTTCCTTTATACCTTTTGTATTAAAATTAAATTTGCAAATGCACTTAATGCCGAACAATTAATTATTTTTAAATTAATGTCACAAAACAAGAAAAAATCCACAAATTTCTCTCACAAAATCTCAACAAGATCTCAAAAACTATAATATCAATTTAACCACACACTTGTTAGAATTAATTATAGTACAATAAATGAATTAATCCTTTTGAAAAATTCACTTCACTCACCTGATGCGTTCTGGCCAGAAACGACTTTAATGGTTTACAAACTTGCTCAAGATTTATTCACCGAATAAACTTTTTCTCATCACAACACTATCTGTGTGACCGCAAAATATTTCTAAGTGCTTATTAAAAACTCAATTTTTTTCTAAGGTTTTTCCCGAAGGACCAATGTTGCACAACTGCAAATGGTGAAGTTGATAAATATTCAAAACAAGAAGGTCTGGATCTATTGATAATAAAAAAAAGACTCCTTTATTCATGCTATGCTTTCTTCTTTTATACTAATTGCTTCAAGGCCTTACAAAGGAATGTGCACACCAAATTGCACACGGCACTGCAATTGTTATGCCCTTGAATGAAAGTATATTCAACTTTAGCATAACGTCATTCTAAAGTTATACATTACAATAAATTATGAAATACATAGTGATTATCAAATTCATTAACGACATGAAATAATTCAAATCTAAAGCATAATTTGGATATACTAAAGTGACATCTAGTGAAATTTATAGAAAGTATAAAAGTATATCATAGATAAATAAATATGTTAATATCGTATATTAACAATCATGTACTTTCATAGATAAATATTATTAATAAATAATAAGAGTCCACTTTCTTTACTCATGACATTGACCTAATAAACTCAATAGACTGAATTATCTGAAACAATAAGTAATTTTTCAACTCTGTTTTTATTAGTGAATAGTTTTTCGTACATCTTAGTTTTATTTGGTAACTACGAAAGTAATGTCAAACCTACATTTCTTTTAAAAACTTATTGTCATCATAATTTGCTTGTTTGTCTAAAGTGTGAATTATCAAAAAAAATGTTTTTTAAGTTTTGATTTGTATTTTAAAATTTATAAAAGTAAACGCAGTTGTGCAAGATTAACTATTACCTCCAGTAGGTATTTTACATCAAGTATTATATTTTGAAAATTTGCTACGTATTATGAAAAACAATTTTTTTCTTATTTTGAATTTTTTCATGGCAATATGGACAGTCCGATAATTTTGCACAACAGTTGAAGCCTAGAACATGTTTACAGGGTAACAGAACAATGTTGATTTTTTCCATCATACAAATCTTGCACACCAATTCATCTATTGAATCATCAGCTTTCATATCATCTAAATCACAAGGCATAATATCGTAATCAAAATGGTAGAATCCCCGCTTTGCCAACTCTTTTTTACAGGTATACACCCTACGCTCGAGTTTCACTGTGTCAATGGGTTTAAAACTTTCTCTTTCGTCCTTAAAGCTTCGTGGTGCATTTGAAATTGCCTTTGTTTTTAGATATTCTTTGTGATCATTAGCGTCATTTGAGGCTTCGTCTTGATGCAGTGTATATTGTGACTTGTTCACAACTGTTCTTGTGCTTTCATGAAGCTCTTCCATACTCTCTGAATCCAAAAAATCTAAACTTTGTTCACTTAAATTTCCAAATATATCAACAATTCGGACACTCATCAACAACTGGCTGTTTAATAATATGGTATTTTATTTAAAATAATGCATTTCTTTCAATTTTTTTAAACGTCCCCCTCCATTCTTTTTCCCCTCAAAGATTGTTGTAAGTATTGTAAAAATTTACCACTACCTATTCTTATTAACTACATAGAACCTAATCACAAGCGGATTCTCACACCACGATGCTTTTCCCAATTATTCTATTAGCAATAAAATCTTTGGCTATTGTTCTCTTCATCTTCAGACCCCGCACTTTTTCCGCACCAATTTTAACATTTTCCGCACCAATTATTACATTTGACATAAATGATTGAATTCAGACTTTTAAAAATTAACAAAAATATTTTCTGAATTTTTGGGCAATTTGTTATTTTTTAAATGGTCTTTGATTAAGTATCATGCATTTGATAAACTTTAAACTTTTTGTCTCCATTTCGCACCAATTTACATATTTTCTACCTTGTCCAAAAAAAAAATTAAATAAACAAAAATACTTTTTGTAGAAGTTTGCAAATTAAAAATGTTTCCGACATTAAGGATTATTTTCGTTAAAGTTTTAGATAAACTCTAAAACAAAAATTTTTTTAAAAATAATAATTTTTGTTCATTTTTGACTCAAATATAAAATTCTAAACCTTAAAAATAAACCTTAAAGATTTTTATGAAACCCGTTTTATTCTTTTCAAAAAATTATTATAAAATGCAAAAAGAATTTTTTATTTTTAAAAACCAACTTTTTGAATGTAAATAAAATATATTTTCCAAAACTTTTGATTCCCAGAAAATGTGTTACAATGAGGAAAGTGGTAAAAAAGTCACATCGCATGCCTATTGTAATTTCCAAATATTTGAAAAATTTTAAATTTAAAATAGATTTTATGTTCATTCGAATGCATCTCTAATAAAGGTGCGATAAAAGCCATTATTTGAATTAAAAATTTTAGTTTTTGAGTTTTTATAACCAAGTTTTAAAAGTTTTTACAAAAGAAAAATCATAATGACTTGACAAAAAAATTTGAATTTTTTTATTTTGAACGTGGTAAAAACAATATTATACAAGTTTTTGAACAGAAACTAAAACCGGATTTGAACCCGGGATCTCGGGATCAACAATTTCCAACACCGTATGCCCGGGATTGAAATTTCGGGCCGGTATTGAAATCCCTAGTGCTCAACATTTGTACAAAAACATCAAAGGTCCACTAAAAATGTTCAAAAACGTCCACAATATTCTTTATTACACATGACTTGAAAAGTTTCTTCGTGCTTAATTTACGCCAGTTGGCTCAGGCTGATTCGAAATTTCGCCTTAAAAAAACTATGAAGACACCTTTAATGTTATGATAAGCACTTATTATTACTCCAAGAGTTAACATTAAAAATCCCTATGAGATTTACAACAGTGATGTCAGTTCATACCATAGCTATCGTAAGAGCAAACTCGTTCAAGTTATGCTGCATTAACCAAAGCAGATTCTAATTGAAGATAATTTGAAGAATTGTGGACTTGAGCATGGCAAAGATGAAAATTTTTAAAGTATTTAAATATTTACACAAAAGGGAACTGCATGCAAGAATGCCTCCTCACTTATGTCATACTGCTTTTTTTTTTAAAAAAAAAGTGAATTTGAATAAATTAAAATTATCATTTCAAAGTATTACCTATCAGCAGAATAATAATGACGACTCTCAAATTCGACAATGATTTTAAGACCTTTTTACATCCTAAAGAAACTATTTATGTGAACTATTATTAACAATATATAAATGCATTTTAAACATTTTTTTTTAAATTTATGACCATTCATATTTGAACCTTTCAACACATATCCTTTTTCTACTCATTTTTAAAAACCTCATCTTTTTTTTTTTTACATTACATCAAAAATCGTCATGGTGCATCGAACTATACATTTTGCAAAAAAAAACACTTGTTTCGTAAAAAATGTCACACATATGTTCAGCAGCCTTTGTTACATTTTAAATTTTTTTTTTCAAACCTTCTCAAATTACAACCCCCCCAAAAAATAAACAGATTTCAACAAACTATTTAAAAGATAAAAAAAATAAACACCTAAAACAGCATCTCAACTACCAAAATTCACAATCGCCAGTATCAGGTTTCACAAATTATCACTAAAATCATATTCAGCTTATCAACCCACGACCGTAAATTTCAACAGCCGGTGTTTAAACTTACATTTTAAATTTCTCAAGCCTTCTTAAATTACAAACCCCAAAAAATAAACATATTTTTTAACACACTATTTCAAAGATAAAAAAAAATAAATAAATACCTAACAACATCTCAATCAACAACATTCACAATCATCAGGATCAGGTTTCACAAATTATCACTAAATATCATGTTCAGCCAAACAACCTAACACCTGCAGATATTAAAATTTGGAAGATAGAGGCAAATATTCTACTTTCCACACTTATTACGCACTAAGAACTTGAATTTGACTTGTTCTGCACTTAATCTGAATTAAGAACTAGATTTTGACTTATTCCACACTTATTCCGCACTAAGAACTTGAATGTGACTTGTTCTGCACTTAATCTGAATTAAGAACTAGATTTTGACTTATTCCACACTTATTACGCACTAAGAACTTGAATTTGACTTGTTTTGCACTTAATCTGAATTAAAAACTAGATTTTGACTTATTCCACACTTATTACGCACTAAGAACTTGAATTTGACTTGTTTTGCACTTAATCTGAATTAAGAACTAGATTTTGACTTATTCCACACTTATTCAGCACTAAGAACTTGAATTTGACTTGTTTTGCACTTAATCTGAATTAAGAACTAGATTTTGACTTATTCCACACTTATTCCGCACTAAGAACTTGAATTTGACTTGTTTTGCACTTAATCTGAATTAAGAACTTGATTTTGACTTATTTACACTTATTCCGCACTAAGAACTTGAATTTGACTTATTCTGCACTTAATCTGAATTAAGAACTAGATTTTGACTTATTCCACACTTATTACGCACTAAGAACTTGAATTTGACTTGTTTTGCACTTAATCTGAATTAAGAACTTGAGTTTGACTTATTCCACACTTATTACGCACTAAGAACTTGAATTTGACTTGTTTTGCACTTAATCTGAATTAAGAACTTGAGTTTGACTTATTCCACACTTATTACGCGATAAGAACTTGAATTTGACTTGTTTTGCACTTAATCTGAATTAAGAACTTGATTTTGACTTATTCCACACTTATTACGCACTAAGAACTTGAATTTGACTTGTTTTGCACTTAATCTGAATTAAGAACTAGATTTTGACTTATTCCACACTTATTACGCACTAAGAACTTGAATTTGACTTGTTCTGCACATAATCTGAATTAAGAACTTGATTTTGACTTATTCCACACTTATTCCGCACTAAGAACTTGAATTTGACTTGTTCTGCACTTAATCTGAATTAAGAACTTGATTTTGACTTATTCCACACTTATTACGCACTAAGAACTTGAATTTGACTTGTTCTGCACTTAATCTGAATTAAGAACTAGATTTTGACTTATTCCACACTTATTACGCACTAAGAATTTGAATTTGACTTATTCTGCACTTAATCTGAATTAAGAACTAGATTTTGACTTATTCCACACTTATTCCGCACTAAGAACTTGAATTTGACTTGTTCTGCACATAATCTGAATTAAGAACTTGATTTTGACTTATTCCACACTTATTCCGCACTAAGAACTTGAATTTGACTTGTTCTGCACTTAATCTGAATTAAGAACTTGATTTTGACTTATTCCACACTTATTACGCACTAAGAACTTGAATTTGACTTGTTCTGCACTTAATCTGAATTAAGAACTAGATTTTGACTTATTCCACACTTATTACGCACTAAGAATTTGAATTTGACTTATTCTGCACTTAATCTGAATTAAGAACTAGATTTTGACTTATTCCACACTTATTACGCACTAAGAATTTGAATTTGACTTATTCTGCACTTAATCTGAATTAAGAACTAGATTTTGACTTATTCCACACTTATTCCGCACTAAGAACTTGAATTTGACTTGTTCTGCACTTATTCGAATTAGGAACTTGATTTTGACTTATTCCACACTTAATACGCACTAAGAACTTGAATTTGACTTGTTTTGCACTTAATCTGAATTAAGAACTAGATTTTGACTTATTCCACACTTATTCCGCACTAATAACTTGAATTTGACTTGTTCTGCACTTAATCTGAATTAAGAACTTGATTTTGACTTATTCCACACTTATTACGCACTAAGAACTTGAATTTGACTTATTCTGCACTTAATCTTAATTAAGAACTAGATTTTGACTTATTTCACACTAAGAACTTGAATTTGACTTGTTCTGCACTTAATCTGAATTAAGAACTAGATTTTGACTTATTCCACACTTATTACGCACTAAGAACTTGAATTTGACTTGTTTTGCACTTAATCTGAATTAAGAACTAGATTTTGACTTATTCCACACTTATTCCGCACCAAGAACTTGAATTTGACTTGTTCTGCACTTAATCTGAATTAAGAACTAGATTTTGACTTATTCCACACTAAGAACTTGAATTTGACTTGTTTTGCACTTAATCTGAATTAAGAACTAGATTTTGACTTATTCCACACTTATTACGCACTAAGAACTTGAATTTGACTTGTTTTGCACTTAATCTGAATTAAGAACTAGATTTTGACTTATTCCACACTTATTACGCACTAAGAACTTGAATTTGACTTATTCTGCACTTAATCTGAATTAAGAACTAGATTTTGACTTATTCCACACTAAGAACTTGAATGTGACTTTTTCTGCACTTAATCTGAATTAAGAACTAGATTTTGACTTATTCCACACTTATTACGCACTAAGAACTTGAATTTGACTTGTTTTGCACTTAATCTGAATTAAGAACTAGATTTCGACTTATTCCACACTTATTACGCACTAAGAACTTGAATTTGACTTGTTCTGCACTTAATCTGAATTAAGAACTTGATTTTGACTTATTCCACACTTATTACGCACTAAGAACTTGAATTTGACTTGTTCTGCACTTAATCTGAATTAAGAACTAGATTTTGACTTATTCCACACTTATTACGCACTAAGAACTTGAATTTGACTTGTTTTGCACTTAATCTGAATTAAGAACTAGATTTTGACTTATTCCACACTTATTACGCACTAAGAACTTGAATTTGACTTGTTTTGCACTTAATCTGAATTAAGAACTAGATTTTGACTTATTCCACACTTATTACGCACTAAGAACTTGAATTTGACTTGTTTTGCACTTAATCTGAATTAAGAACTTGATTTTGACTTATTCCACACTTATTACGCACTAAGAACTTGAATTTGACTTGTTCTGCACTTAATCTGAATTAAGAACTTGATTTTGACTTATTCCACACTTATTACGCACTAAGAATTTGAATTTGACTTGTTCTGCACTTAATCTGAATTAAGAACTTCATTTTGACTTATTCCACACTTATTCCGCACTAAGAACTTGAATTTGACTTATTCTGCACTTAATCTGAATTAAGAACTAGATTTTGACTTATTTCACACTTATTACGCACTAAGAACTTGAATTTGACTTGTTTTGCACTTAATCTGAATTAAGAACTAGATTTTGACTTATTCCACACTTATTACGCACTAAGAACTTGAATTTGACTTGTTTTGCACTTAATCTGAATTAAGAACTAGATTTTGACTTATTCCACACTTATTACGCACTAAGAACTTGAATTTGACTTGTTTTGCACTTAATCTGAATTAAGAACTAGATTTTGACTTATTCCACACTTATTACGCACTAAGAACTTGAATTTGACTTGTTCTGCACTTAATCTGAATTAAGAACTAGATTTTGACTTATTCCACACTTATTACGCACTAAGAACTTGAATTTGACTTATTCTGCACTTAATCTGAATTAAGAACTAGATTTTGACTTATTCCACACTTATTCCACACTAAGAACTTGAATGTGACTTTTTCTGCACTTAATCTGAATTAAGAACTAGATTTTGACTTATTCCACACTTATTACGCACTAAGAACTTGAATTTGACTTGTTTTGCACTTAATCTGAATTAAGAACTAGATTTCGACTTATTCCACACTTATTACGCACTAAGAACTTGAATTTGACTTGTTCTGCACTTAATCTGAATTAAGAACTTGATTTTGACTTATTCCACACTTATTACGCACTAAGAACTTGAATTTGACTTGTTCTGCACTTAATCTGAATTAAGAACTAGATTTTGACTTATTCCACACTTATTACGCACTAAGAACTTGAATTTGACTTGTTTTGCACTTAATCTGAATTAAGAACTAGATTTTGACTTATTCCACACTTATTACGCACTAAGAACTTGAATTTGACTTGTTTTGCACTTAATCTGAATTAAGAACTAGATTTTGACTTATTCCACACTTATTACGCACTAAGAATTTGAATTTGACTTGTTCTGCACTTAATCTGAATTAAGAACTAGATTTTGACTTATTCCACACTTATTACGCACTAAGAACTTGAATTTGACTTGTTTTGCACTTAATCTGAATTAAGAACTAGATTTTGACTTATTCCACACTTATTACGCACTAAGAACTTGAATTTGACTTGTTTTGCACTTAATCTGAATTAAGAACTAGATTTTGA